CCAAAGGATTGTGGGTAGACAAACTGCCCAATGTACTCTGGGCCTACCAGACCACCATCAAGACTGCCACAGGTGAGACTCCTTTTAACCTCACTTACGACGCAGAAAGCGGTGATCCCAAGAGAGATTGAGGTGCCTACACTACGCTTGGAGGCCTACGACGAAGAGACAAATGATGACGAGCTCCGTACTAACGTAGACCTGGTGGAAGAAGTACGAGACCTAACATACATCCGGACTGCAGCTTACCAACAGAGAGTAGCTCGGTACTATAATGCCCAGGTCAAAAAGCGACACTTTTGCGCCGACGACCTGGTTCTTTGGAAGGTTATGGTACCTGATCCCGGTGTCGATAAGCTCGGACCGAATTGGGAAGGTCCATATCAAGTAAGACAGGTATATGGGGAAGGTACGTACGAGCTCGAGACTCTGGAAGGGAAGCAAGTACCTCAAGCATGGAACATCGACAACCTAAGAAGATACTACTTGTGATCACTAAACTGGAGGGAGAACTGCGAATCACTTCCAGAAGCCTAAGGGCCATGATGCTGAGCTGATATAGGACCTCGACACTACGATAAGTCCTAGTCGCCTCTTCGGCATGGGCAGAGAAGTCCCAATCGCCTCTTCGGCATGGGCGGATAAGTCCTAGTCGCCTCTTCGGCATAAACAGACAAGTCCTAGTCGCCTCTTCGGCATAGGCAAACTGGTTTTCATGCCCAAGGGATAGACAACTCGGGCGCAAACCTTACGGCATCTAGCCCACCTTGGCATATAACAACGGGTTGATCCTATTTGAGGTCAGGCCCGACGGCTCGACACTAAGGGATAACCGACACTCAAGCGAGTAGTCCATGCGCAGACAGGTCGGGTTTATATCCTACAATGTCCGCCCACCTCAACGTACAATATGCAAAGTTACCCCTACTCGTAGTCCAACTCGTTAGCTCAACAGTTCGGGGTAATCAACACTTAGAAAAAATATACTTTGGTTATCCTTACTTGTAGCTCAGCTCGTTAGCTTGACAGTTTGGGACAATCAAAATTGACAATTTTTGCTCTTATGTGGTCTAGTTCGCCAGTTCGAGAGTTGTTTACACTTGAAAATTTTTGCACAGAGAGTCAAAATGCTTATATTTCATTGATGTAAAGTTTGAGTACAAAAAAAAAAGAGAAACTTCCACTATGAACCGAGCTCAGAGGCTCGAGGTATACAATATAAAGGATCATGAGGATTTTAGTCATCTCGAGGCTCCTCGCCCTTGTCCAAGGCTTAGGTAGGAGGATCCGTCTTCATGCAGCTCTCACCAGCACCGGTCTCCTTGACGTCATCGAACAGGTCGCTGTCACTTTCTACTTCGGAGTCCAGATCTTCAGCAGCTTCGGCGACCATTTCCTTTGTGATTCTTGAGGTAGTTATGGCTTTAAGATCGAGCTCGGGGAACTCACGTCGGGTCAACCACCTACTAAGCTTGAAGCCTTTGTGATAGCTCGCCGTCCCCACCTCGACCATCTCCCTCCGGTACTCCACCGAAGCCTTGTATTCCTCGATGGACTTAACCTTAGCCTCCTCCACTGCTTTAAGGAGTATCCCAGTCCGCTCCTTTACATGAGCCTCGAGGTTCTCCACATTCCTCTTCAGCACTGCCTTCCACTCCGCGAGCTCCTTCTTCTTGGACATCAGCAGCGTGATCAACTCTTTCTTAGCCCGCACATCCTTTTTCAATTGGTTGTTTTCGCTACGGGCTAAGTTAAGCTTGGTGTGAGCCTTGTGGGAAGACTCCTCAGCTGCAAGGACCCGCTTCAAATTCACCTCGCACTGATAAGTCAAGGCATGGATAGCGGAGTTCACATGCCAAGAGAAGAGAACAAGCGTCAGTACATGAGAAGCTAAGTACAAGATCGAATAAGATAAGTCAAAACTTGCCACCATGCAGTGGGTAGCCGCTCAGGCTCCGAGTTGAGAAACCGACAGTTCGGCCCAGCCAGCAACCTCCTCGGCATACACCGCACCTTTGCTCTTGAGGAGGCCGTATTTCAGAGTCAGAATGCTCCGAGCTGCATCATCGCTGCCTGAAGAAGCTGCAGCTGCAAGGGCAGGCTCCGAAGACATCGCCTCCTCGGCCACGCGGGGTGGGGAGAGCTTCCTAGATTCCTCCTCGACCAAGTCAATCACAGGAGGTTGCTCGGCGGACGATGGCTGCTCAGGCTTTGGAACGGCAGCCGATGGAGACTCAACGCAAGCTCTTTTCAAGGCTCGCTTCTTCTTCCCCTTCTTCACACTCCCGAAGAGTTCAGTCGTGGGGATGTCCATGATAGCTGCAACAAAAAACAAACTATCAGAAATAGTACTGAAATAAAACAAAGGAAATACAACAAATGACGACCTACCAGGACTCAGACTGGTCTGCACGAGCTTCTCCTCGGTCACATAGTCCACAAACTTCAAGCTGAGCTCCGCCCAAGATCGGAGCGCCTCCCTTATCTTCAGGTCCAACTTGACACCGGGGTCTTGGATGGGCGTCCTCCAATGGGTCGGGAAAGGCCACCCCTCAGTGTTGTGGACCACAAAGTAACGCCTTTTCCAGGTCGGGACCTTGTTCGGGAGCTCGTGCAAGAGCTTGTAGCCCGGACATGGTGACAGGTAGTAAGTTTGCCTGCGTTCGGGCAGAACACAGGATGAGTTCCTTTTAATAGAAAGAATGGAGGAGAAGATGTCGAGGTCGAGAGGAAGGTCGTAGTCGTGAAAAAGGGAGATTGTTCCTACTACATTACGGATGGAGTTCGGGTGCAAATGGTCTATGGTTATGTTGATCAACTTGATGACTTCGACTATCAAGGGGTGAAGTGGAAGACGAAGACCAGCTACGAGCTGTTCCTCGAAAATCACGATCTCGTCGTGTCCGTGCTCCCAAGGGAAGTTACCTAGGGGGATACTGTAGACTAAGTTGTTTTGAAGCTTATACCGGGCTACTAGGGACAGGAGCCTGTCTGTCGTCATCGTCGATGGGCCAAAGTTATCTAGCACCCGACCTCGATGCGAGGTGGAAGCCAGGTCACTAGAGGCCTCTTGCTCCCCCTGGGGTGAGTCCACCTCAGGAGGATCACGGATCGCATCCTGACCTGAAGTAACATCCTCAGTAGGACGAAGACTAGCATGACCGAGGTACCCACCTCGGCTCCAGCAGATTCGCCGCTTCCATCTAAAAGGCTATCGAAACTAAAGCTAGACATGGAAAGACATAGAATCGAAAAGGAGAGTTAGGGAAGACTCACCAAAGAGAAATCGAACTGAAGAAAGGAAGACGACCTCAGGAAGACACCGAACTGAAGGGCTTGAGCGCAACCTTAGATTGCGAATTATCAGACTTGTGGCGAAGAAAATGAGTCCCTTGCCCCTATTTATAGCTGCTGTGTCCGAGAATCAATGGTCGAGATCATAAGGATCCAACGACTCCTAGAAAAACCAGCTGCGCGGTCTCCGAGGTTGAAATCGGTTTAGCGTGTGTTTTGACGTCCGCGGAGTTCATAGATGGCGTGACGTCCGCGTGTAGACTAGACGCGACCTGGGTTATTCCTGGTTGAGCCGGGCGACCGAACAGGTCCGACCAATGATTCGCCCGACGAGCCGCCTAGACCTTGTGTCAAATCCACTTGGACTCGTCATGAACTCCCCGCACCGGGTCGAGACCCCTAGCTCGGGGAGTGGGGGGCAATTGATGAAGGGTGATTTGGCCCGACCTAGCGAAAAGGGGACACGTGGACACGACCTGACCAAGAGATGCCAGCTCAGCTTGACATGCCTAGTTCGCAACAATTGAGATCGAGTATTCAGTCACCTCGGTGTAGGGCCACCTCGGCATCGAAGCACTTCGGCATTCAATCCAGTTCGAAACTAAAGAACCGAAGTACCAGTTCGGGACCAACAACTCGAATCACCACGTAACTAATTCCCCCGTAACCAACTCCAGAGGTCTCTCCAGCGGAACCTGAATCCCAAATCCCTCGAGATCACGATGAGCTAACAGATCCCGACTTTTTCGAGATTACGATGAGGGCTCATCTCGACTCTGTCGGAGTCGGAAGTGGAACGATAAGCCTTATCTACTGCTCCTTCGGAAGCGAAACGAACTCTATCTCCACCCCCCGGATATCCCGGAGCTCTTTCGTGAGCTCCACGACTACTCCATTATATAAAGGCACTAACTCCAATGGCGCAAGGTACGCGTGATTTTTCTACTCTCTAGCTTTCTAGCTCTCTAAGCTCTTAAGCTCACATCAGATTATTGACTTAAGCATCGGAGCGACCTCGCCAAGTTAGCCACCTCGGGCTCTTTGATCATTTTCTTGCAGATTCACTTAGCTCGCCGTCCGACTGGAAGCCAGATCAACCTCTAGCAAGGAGTAATCAAATCACGCAACATCAGATTTGATTCTTATTGAAGAAAAGATGGAGGGAAGAGGGGTAAAACTGGGATTATAAAACAATTTGAAGGCCATTTTAATTTAAACAACCTCAAACATTTTTTTAACAAATGGCCTATTTGTGCTATATGATCATTTTATAAGATATATATAAGCAAATTTTGAAACTATACGATATATTTAAGTAGTTTTCTAAACATCGTAGGTATATATATAAGCAATTATTTGAAACTATACGATATATTTAAGTAGTTTTCTAAACATCGTAGGTATATATATATAAGCAATTATTCTTTAACAAAATGATGTTAAATTGTGAAATTGTCACAGTTTCACAACGAAAAAATTGGCACAACCACTTCCCTGAACGATCCCACTGATATTTGCCACGTGAAAGAGTGACATGGCTAATCCAAAGTCCAAACACACAATCATGTAAAAGATGCTTTTTGCGATGGCAACTATGCCACGTGGAAGATTACCGGGGCTCTCTAGATTTCTTTCTAAACGACCCGACCACCAAACCCTTGTTTCTTGTGTTTTAAACCCTAGAGCTCAAGGCTTTTGGTGTGGTCGTGCGTGCGACTAGAGAGGTTTACCCTACATCGTCTTTTAACCTACACGGATACTTTGCATCGACCGGTGTGCGAATAGGAAGGACCGAAGGTGCATTTCGCTCTAAAGGGGGCAGTGTATAGCTTCTTCTTTATTTTTATGTTTTATTTTTTAATTTTTGCGTTTTATGCTGAAACGATTGATTACAGGAGAAAACCCGCCTAAAAGAAAATACAACTTCAAAAAATCGAATCAAATCTTATGGCCTTTCACGTTGCTTGCCCAATTACACGGTTCGTTTCGTCTCAGTCAAACTCCCTTTTAAGTTTAACAGAACCCTCTCCCCCCCTCTCTCTCAGCGTTACTTGTTTTGTCTGATGCAGCCGAAAAATCTGTTTCTGCACGCTTGGGTTTCCGCGGAAGCTCCAGAGCGAGAAGGGTCGGAAGGATTTCTTGGAAGAGGTTTTTAGGGTCGAGGAGTTCTTGCGCGATCCGTGGTCGCTTAGGGCTAGAGAGAAGGACACAGTTCAGGTTTTGGTCCCTCGGATTGTTGTGCCCACTCCAGCGGTAACTCCGGTGACTGATGGGTTTGGAGGTGGAGATGAAGGGGAAGAGAATTTGTCGGCACAGTCGAAGCGGGCTGCAATGCACAAGAGGGCAGTTGCAGCGTCTTTGGCTGCCGAGGATTATGCTCGGAGGTTTGAAACCGGAGATTTGGCGGTGAGGTTCTTAAATTGTTGTTTGATGGTCAATTTCGGTATTTATTTTAATCTTTTTATATCTGGCATCTAAGGTGATGATAAAATAAGTTATTTCGTTATAATTTCTTCATGTAGTCGACTTTAATTGTTTTTAGTGCTGCTTGGGCTGTGAATAAATTACGACGATTAAAGTATAATGATTTTCTTTTAATTTCCATTCTATTGCAATTGTAGTTCTTCCTTTTCTTTTAGTTATTGGCAATATTTTTTTTTTCTCATTTTTCTTTACGAGAGCTACTTAATGCTTTTATCTGTTTTGATTGTATGAATATCGTTTGCGGAAGAACAATGCTAATTGGGTGGTTGACCGTTTAAGAATGCAAAGAATGAATAGATTTAAAAGCAATGTCGTGGGGGGTTATGATGCAAGGTAGTTTTTCATTTTACTATGTGGTTAGTAACTTTGGCCCTATTTTAGCTTGAAAATGGTTAATCTTCCCCCACCCCAACCCCACCCAAAGAAAAAAAAAGAAAGAAATTAAAAGAAGAAAAATAATATTTTATCTGACTCATAAAAAAATTCTTACCTGGATATCAAGGCTCTACATTTTTGGAGCCTTTTTTTCACCCTTGACGGCTTGCAGAGTAAATTCACTTGTTAAAACCTGTTTCTACTTTTGGGCTCCTTGTTCTTGCACTAGAAATAGGGGCAATTGCTTGATGTAATGGTAAAATCTTAGGCTGACAAACATGAGAAATGTGGATTCAAGTCTTTAAGCAGTCACTTTGTGCAAAAAATGCCAAAGGTTAGGTCTGTATACAATCCTTACCTCTCAAGGTCCCAGATAGCTGGGACCAACACTGGGTAATGGTATTATTTTTTTTCCATACGCTAGAAATATTTATTTGTTTGATTTTTGAAATCTCAGGATGCCTCTACGGAAAAAGTTTGGGATATCATTGGAGAAAACCAGAATTCTTCTACTGTCAAAGTGATGTGTCGCTTATGTTTTCAAGGTGAAAATGAAGGAAGTGACAGAGCAATGAGGATGCTCCCATGCAAAATTTGCAACAAGAAGTATCATAGGAATTGCCTGAAAAATTGGGCTCAACATAGAGGTCCCTTTTATTTTCCCAAATCTTTCCAGCTAGACGGTGTCAACATAATTCTAGCATGTTATAACATTGTCTTTATGTGGCTTCTCATGCAGATTTATTTCACTGGAGTTCATGGATCTGCCCCTCTTGCCGGATTTGTGAGGTGATTGTTTTTTATGCTTATATTGTTCTTTATGTTTATGTTTTGTACAATTAGAAAAAAATAATGATCTTTGTTTTGTACCTTAGAAAATTTTGTTTGGTGCGTGTGTTGCGTTCTCACTTTTAAAGATCAGAACAAAATTTCTGCATTGTTTCACCTCACTACAAAATTCTCTCTCTCTCTCTCTCTCCTTACTTTTTGATCTTGCACCAAAGCTTGTTCAATGGAATAAATCAAGAAATGATGTCCAGGTTTATGGGAAAATCTTGGTTTTGAGTCATGATGTAAGAAAATGCAGAACATCCAGTGCTGCACTAAGTTCCTTCAATTTTCAACTATGAGCAGCAGGATAAAATTCTTTCAATTATAACATAAAAAGAATGAAGAAAGAAACTGAGAACTCAAATTTCTGCTTAATTTGCTTGCTGTAGGTTCTTAGTGGCTTGTTGTAGAAATGGGATCATTCAAAGGCCACTTTCTTTCAGAGTCATTGAGTGATATTTGCAAAGAGAGATGCTGTAGAAGAAAATGAGATAGTTAGAAGAGTTCAGTTAAAGACACATCCCTACCCTCTTGGACTCCTTCTCCTAGTGTTTTTATCAAACTTAATTTTGATGGAAGTAGCATGGGTAATCTGGGTCCATCAGGTATTGGGGGTGTCTTAAGAAATGAGGGAGTGATAATTGCTCTCTTTTCGGGGCCAATTGGAATGGATGGTTCTCTTAGAGCTGAGATTTCAGCTGTTATTGAAGGAACTCAAAGGGTAATTGAACTGAATATCCCCAAATTGGTCATAGAAGGCGATTCTAAACTGGTAGTGGATTGGTTGAGAAATGATACTGCTAATTTTTGGAACTACAGCAATGAGAAGAGGAAATTTAATTGGTTAACCAAGAATGTTGAGGTGAAGATGAGTTGGGTTAAAAGAAGTGCTAACTCCTTTGCTAATGGGTTAGCTAAACAAGGGACATCTAGGGACTCTTTGTTTTGGGCTATCTTGTAATTGTTCTCTTGTCTTGTTGTTTTGGTTAGGTGAGATAAGAGAGTTTATCTCCCTCTTCTTGTACCTGTGTTTTTTCTCTCTAATTTTAATGAAATCTGCGAGTTATTGATAAAAAAAAGTCTTAAATAACCAATGATTTGTGGTTAGGGCTTTAAAACAAGTCTCCATTGACAAACTTAAAAGAAACAAGAAACAACAAAGTATAAAACTAATTCTTAATTGTATTGATTTGAACTGCATGAGTTATATAAATGATAAGATTCATGAATCAAATTATATGATTCAAACAAAAATCATAAGGTTCTCATAGAAAAGGACTCAGACATAAGATTTAAATCAAAACCCTTGGGTTCATGATTCAGATCATGAATCGTATCATAAATTGTAAGATTTTGACAACCATGCGAATGGGTTGGAGTGTGGTATCTGTGCTCTTTGTTCTTTCTAATATCTTCTCTGTTACCATGATTGTTGTGTATTTATTTTGTACTGATGCCAACTTAACATCTTTTATTTTTTATGCTGATGAAGAAAGAGTGGCGAAATTGGTAGTTATATATATTTGTTTTTTTTTCTTTTTTTTTCCTTTTTTTGCCTTTTGTTTTATTCAAAGATGAGGACATATGATGTTTTTGTCCCATGCTATGTCTGTACTGCATCCCATACACATACATCTAAGGTCTCCTGTTAAACACTGCTCTATAATGCCCAGACATGGACACACAGGAAGTGGGGATACGACTCTTTTTTTAATCAGAAACGATAACTTTCATTAGAGATGAATTAAACTGAAATACAGAAGCCAACCCTTATTAGAAAAGGTTGATCCAATAAACATCAAACATTACAACACTGCCCAGTAAAGTCTCTCCCTTACAGTCCCTTGTTTTGCTAGGGCATCAGAAAAACCATTTGCTGATCTCCTTATCTACTTGAAACAAACACCCACCTCCCTTGTTATGCTAAGTATTTCCCTTATCAGTTGTCTATATTGCCAAATTCCTAGCTGCCCTGATTGCATCCACCCAATTACCAATTTGGAGTCTCCCTCTATCTCAAATTCTCAATCTGCTGTAGCCCCATTGTTTGACCAGTTTTACACCTTGATTTCCTAAAATATGCTTTATATCTAGTTTTTGAAGCTAGACGTCATTTTTTAAGACCTATGTCTTGCCAAATTTAGTTAAGTTTCTAACATGGGCAGATCTTTTTACAGTATACTATGTTAAAGCATACCATTCTACAAAGTTTAGATATGTTAATGCTATAAAGTGCACCTACAAGTATCCATGCAGGATCCAATATTGTATTTGACACTGATATGTTAGGTCTGTACAGGAATCTGGGTATCTTGGCACTGCTACTTAAGCTGTGTACAACCTGATTTAACAGAACCTGTGCATTGTTAGAAAACCATGTAGTGGCACTAGCACAAACTTATTCTCCTTGTTTTAGGTATTTGAGGTTGGATTTGGATACATTTTTTATAGGTTCATCGTGTAAAGTACTTTCAGGTTCTAGGTTTTGGTAATGCACTTGCCAGGATTTAGGTTTTATAGCATTCTCTTTTGATGCATTAAAGTGCAATTTGCATTTAGCCACCCAAACACATGACATCGTGCATTTAACTTGGTAATGCATTAAGGTACATCTAAATTCTCCATCCAGAATTCATCTTAGTTTGGCTTTAATGATGTGGGGTTATTTATTCTAATTTATTTCCATTATCAACTTTTCATACTTGTGATGAATGCTGCAAATTGTTGGCAGCATACATGGTTTTATGAATGATATGCTTTCTTTGCTCCTATATTTAATGCATTGACAGTGATGAAGATATTAACTATCTGATGCATTCATTCTGGTGTTTCCAGGTGTGCCGCAGAGCTGGAGATCCAACTAAATTCATGTTTTGCAAAAGGTGTGACAGTGCTTACCATTGCTACTGTCAGCAGCCTCCACACAAGGTGGGTTGTTGAATTATTTTTCCTTGACTCCCAACAGAATGATCCAAATAATCACCCTTCTCTCCTTTTTTGTGATCCTGCAGAATGTTAGTGTTGGTCCTTTTTTGTGCCCAAAACATACAAGGTGCCACAGCTGCAGGTCCAATGTATCTGGAAGTGGCCCAAGCACGAGGTATTGATTTTTAATTCTAACACTGTTGCCTCAGGTGTTCTGAATATTAATGGTAATACCATGTGTCAGCCATTCATCCTCTCCTGCCCTTATATTTTGACCTTTGGCTGTTTCTTATCAATATAATCACCTTAATTATAAAAAGCAATGCAGCTTCCTATAAGCTTTGGAAAATCTTGTTCTTTTCAAAGAAGTTCTCTTTCGTACTATTTAAGCCATTGCTAATTATGATGGTATCATAAAACTGCATATGCATTTATGACATTCCTTTTTTCTTAAAAAAATGAAAGAATGTTCCTTTTAGTAAGTTAATAACTTACAATGTGAGATGTGATGAAATAAAAGCTCTGGTTTTTTATGTCTCTGTTAATGGTTAGTTCATGGGTACACTGAGCATGAAGCTCTTTCAGGGGGTGGGGGTGGGGAGTAAAATGTCATTGTTAATTAATGCATAGTTTTGTTTGCTGAAAAGATGTAGCTGACCCCACATAGTTGGGACAAAGCTTAGTTGAGTTGAGTTGAGCTCTATTAGCTTAAATGATGACAAATGAGTTGTTCATGAACTCTATTTTACGTCTTGTAAGGTTTATCATCTTTTACCTACAAGATATGGACTAATTTGTTATTCTTAAACATGCAGATGGTTTCTAGGGTATACTTTCTGTGATGCTTGTGGCAGGTTGTTCTTGAAGGGAAACTACTGTCCCGTTTGCTTGAAGGTATCCTTTTATTTGCTCCAAAAAAATAATGAACTTGTTGGCTTTTGCTTTTATTATTTTACTATTAAACAGGGTTTATTTTTTAATGCTGATTTCATTCATTGAATGATAAAACTTGGGATGTATGATCTATGGTGTAATTATGCTAGTGATAAATGGATCTTAATCTTGATGGGTGCTCCATGAGAAATCTTTGACTGCTAGGCATGTGGGGTGTGTTGAAAACTTGAGCCAATGGCAATTGGAGCCCATAAACCAGAGCCAATGACAATTGGAGCCCAAAACCAGCCCAACATACCCTTCAAGCAACTCATAGGTCGCTCCTAGCTAATCGCTTCTCAGCCCTCTCCACCATAGGGGTCCAAAAACTAGCCGATATAGGGTTGTCACCCAAGGGTAAACCTAAATATCTCATAGGTCACTCTCCCCTCTCACAACCCAGAGAACCTGCCATTGTCCTCAAATCATCTTCTTCTACATTGATTCCAACAACTAAACTCTTTGACCCATTAATCCTCAAGTTAGACAACCTCTCAAAAGAGTTTCACCACCAATTTCAAATTTTCCACCCCCTCACTACAGTCTCCCTCACAAAAAATCAGGATATCATCTGCAAACTACAAGTGAGTAATCAAAATATTGTCTCTCCCAATTGACCAACCTTTGAATAACTGCTAGAAGTTTGCTCTTGAAATAAACTTATTCAGCACTTTAGCTACCAAAGTGAATAGAAAAATAGAGAGGATCACCTTGTCTAAGACCACGAAAGCCCTCAAAAAAATCACTCACTGTCCCATTAACAATAACTGAGTAATGACTAGATTGTAAGCAATCTCTAATCCATTTACACCACAAGTCCCCAAAACCACACCTTCTCATGATATCAATTAAGAAATTCCAATCCACCAGTTCATTGGCTTTCTCCAAGTCCAATTTGATTGCCACTCCCTTTCCTCTTTAACCGCTTTTTTTTTTGTTTAGTAAAAATCTTTCATTAATAACAGAGAGATTAAGATACAATAGCTAAAGATTGCATAGGAAATTGCAATCTCCAGCAATCRGTKACAATTCTGCCCAATACAATGAAGATCTATTTGCCCCTTGTTTTGCTAGGTTATCTGCCATTTCCATTTGCATCCCTTTTAACCCAACCAAACTGAGAGTTGAACTTCCTTGCAAGTGTGTCAGTTTCTTTGAAAATA